TTGTATGGTATGTGAATTGTACTGCAGTAAAGCTGTTTTAAAAAAGAAAGAGTTTGCTAACAAAAGAGGACAAAAGTAAAGTAACCCAAAGAGTTGGTGCAGCACCCTGGGGCTGGCTACACTGGGGAGCGGTTACTCCTTAGGCCCAAAGACAGGGGAGGCTGAACTGCTAGAATCCTGGGGCTGTAGAGAGAGGACTTCCCAGCAAGAGCTGTGACCTGTGATAGGGGTGTGCAGACATCCTGAAGGGCCCAGCAGGGAGCAAGCAGGGGAAATAACTCCCAGAACTTTTCTCCTGCCCTCTGATTTCCTGCCAGTGCCTTCCACTGGTCAAACCACCTGGAAGGGCCTACTGAGGACAGACACCAGATTCACAGATTTACTTCCTTATTTATTTTTCACATGTATTGTGAAATCTCAGCATCACAAGATGGCAAAATGGCAAACTCTAGCAGTTTCATGCAGCTGGTCTTTAACCTTTAACCCAATGGTGCAGCCACCAATATAAAATACTGACATTCTGCCAGCTGCTCCAAGCCCCTCGATTGTCCCCCACCTTTGCCATGGCTTTACCTGGAATCCTCTCGACTTCACCTATATCCAGCAATGGAGGGTTGATACCTGGCTAGCCTAGCAGAGCCTGTGGGAACCTGAACATTCAACTGACAATTGCTCAGGCCTGGGGCATACTGCTTGTGGAGTGATTTGAATGCACCCCCTTGGTGAATTACCTTCAGGCGTTTTCTGCACACCTGCTGTATGCCAGTCACTGGGAAGCTGCATGGAGCCGTGTCATCTTAGAGCCTGAGCCTGAAAGCCCTCAGACCTCCTGACACTGAAGCACAGAGCCCAGGCTCTTCAAGTGGGGAAGGGAGCTCAGAAGTCTCCTCAGGCAGCTCAGAAGCCTGGCCTCAAGCAGTAGGGTGCAAAGAGTGCAGCTTTGTCCCTCACACACTTCCTCTGCTGTTGTCCCCTGCCTCAGAGAGAGGGCTGGGTGCCTGTCTGGTGGCCAGCCCTGTCCAGGCAGCTGTGATTATGCCTGGCTTAATGTGGACATAATGCAGTCACTGCAGCTCTCAAAATGCAGAGTATGCAGGGCTAGCGGGCTGGATGCCACCTGATCAGGGCCCATTCAATGCCACCATGGCATCAGGCCATCAATGGCCTCAGAGGAACAGGGAGGCCACATTCAGGGGTCCAAGAGGGGCAGGAGGAGCAGCGACCCCCCATCCAGGACACAGGAGCCGCTTTCTGCACTAGGGCCATTGCTTAGGGCCTACCATGGTAGTAGCCCCCAGTATCACAGATGTGGAAATACAGGAAAGCCTTGGTATTGCTTTCCCATGAAAACCTTCCAGGGTCTTCCCGTCGCCTTTTTAAAGAAAACCACTTTTCTGAGGTATAATTCACATGCCATACAGTGTCACCACTTAAAGTAAGCAATTCAATGGTTTTTAATATATATTTGCAGATATGTGCAACCATCAGCACAATCAATTTTACATTATTTTCATCACCTCATAAAGAAATCTGTACCCATTAGCTGCCACTCCCCATTTCCCTTCTTCTCTGCAACCACTAATCTCCCATGTGTCATTATGGATCTGCCTATTCTAGGCATTGCATGTAAATGGAATCACATGATATGTGGCCTTTTGCATCTGGCTACTTTCACTTAGCATATAATGTTTTCAAGGCTCATCCACATTGTAGCAAGTGTCAGTACTTCATTCCTTTTTATGGCTGAATAACATTCCATTGTATACCTCATTTTGCTTATCTGTTAATCGTTAAGGGAGTTATTCCTCTCACGTTTTAGCTGTTATGAATACTACTGCTATGAGCAATCATGTACTCATTTTATTGTGGACATGTTTTCATTTCTCTTGGGCATACACCTAGGGGTGGAATTGTTGAGTCACACATTCTGTGTCTAACATTCTGAGGAGCTGCCAGACTGTTTTCCAGAGTGTCTGCCTCATTTCCGATGCCCGCCAGCAGTGCAGGAGGGTTCTGATGGCTCCACACCCTCGCCGACACTTGTTATTGTCTTAGCCTCCTAGTGAGTGTAAAGGAGCATGTCGTTGTGGTTTTGATTTGCCTTTTCTTGGGGACCAGTGCTACTAAACATCTTCTCATGTGCTTGTTGGCCATTGATTGTATCCATTGCATTTTTATAAATTGAGATATTGCTTATGTGAAAAAGGTACACAGAGCATCCCTGTTCACTTAAAAGAATAGTTACAAAACATGATCCATGTAACCATAACCCATATCAAGGAGCAGAATATTGCCAGGACCCCCAGAAGACCGCTGGGTGCCCCTGGCCAACCACAGCCCCTCCCCGCCCTGGGAATAACCTTGTCTTGATATTGGTGGATGGGCTTCTAAACAATACAGTCCACTTTTGTCTGCCTTTGACCTTGATCCAAATGAAATCACTCTGTGGAAATCATTTCTGGCTTGCTTCTGTCCCTCCACACTGTGTTTCTGAGTTAGTCTCTGTCAGTGTGGCTTGCTAGAGCTGTTCATTGTCATTGCCTTATTGTGTTCCATTGAAATGCACATGCTGTGGCTTATCCACTCACTGTGGATGGTCATCTGGATGGTGCCCAGGTCAGAGTGATTATGAACATTGCTGTGTGGACATTCTTGAACCTGTTTCCTTTGCACACACAGTGATTCTCTAGGGTATGTGTCTTGGAAATTGAAGGTCTGAGTCATAGGCATGTGTATCCTCAGCCTTACTAGATACTGGAAAACAGGTTTCTAACATACATGTACCACCTTTGCATGCCTCCAGCAGTGCCTGAGTGCTCCAGGTGCTCCATATGCCCGCCAACACTCAGTATTGTCAGAATCCATTTTGAGCATCCCCCAGGTATCTCTATGTCAAAGCCTCCAGCTCAACTGGGCCTGAGTGCATCAGAAACACCTGCCTAACTCTGCCCCCAATTGTGTCATCACACCTCCAAGCCTTTGCTCTTTCTCCTACTTCTTAAGCCAAGGCAGAAAAGCAGGCTGGAGACCTAGGAACTATCCCCTCACTGACAATCAAAAGGGACATCTGTGTTGTTTTGGGGACACAGATTTGTGGGACGTAGCCTGCATTTGAACGGGCTGCTCATCCAACATGGGCTGTGTGGGGGGGGGTCCCGGGAGAGTGCTGCCTACAGGAGGCACTCTGTGATGCCAGGTGTTCTAGAACCAGAGCCTTCAACCAGCCAGTCCTGTTCCTGAACACTCTGGATGGAGGGATCACTGGCTTATTTGATTGCAGATACTGAGGTTGAAATGTGATAGCACTCCCTCCCTGGTGGTTCTATTGACCAAACACTGGTCACCTCTCCTGGAAGCAGAGCTCTTAGGGCCAGGAAGACCCTGAACATGAACCCAATCCTCAGAGACAGGAACTTAATCTTGTCACCTGGGTATCCCCAGCATCCTGAACAGGCTCAGGGCCAGAGGCAAGACTAGTGAGTATTTTTTGCATGTCTGATTCCGTTCCAGCACCCTAATTTTCTCAGAAAAGATGGAATTGTCTTCACTATATGTTAGAGTTAAGGAAACTGAGACCCAGAGAAGAAGCGTCACATGGGAACTAAGTGGCAGCAGACACTCAGTTCACCCCTCAGCTCCAAGCCCCTTGCCTCAGAATGTCTCACAGACCAGCTCTGAGACTTAGTTGAACCTCGAGGTTTTTTTTCTGTAAAAAGTAGTCAATCATACTGGCTTCACAGAATTAATAAGATGCCATACATAAAAGCATGGGCCCAGTGTGTGTGCAGGGGGTTAATAAATGTCCACCCACTTACCCCTTCCTCCAGTCATTCTTTCATGACATAACAGGCAAAAGCAATTTGACAATCTGAATGAAGGATAATAAAAATGCTCACACACGGTGACCCAGCAACTGTGCCCACCGGGAAATCTCCATCTCCATGCCTGGTACACAGCAGGAGCTCAATTCGTGTCTTAGGATGGAGGAGGAAGGAAGAGAAGCTTTAGTCCCAAGATATTTCTTTATAGTTGAAAAAGGAAGAAAGGGGTGGAGGGAGGAAGGAAGGAAGAAAAGTGAGAGAAAGAAATAAAAACAATTTTTTAAAGTACCCTGAAAATCATCTGAATATGCTGTACTCTGGGTGCTGGGTAAAATGTTGCCTTCTCCTGTTGCTGGGCTATTCTAAAACAAAGGTAAGCAAAATATGGCTCATGGCCCAACTCTAGTCCACTGTCTTTGTAGGTGAATAAAGTTTAAATGAAAAGCATCCGCTATTCAATTCTTGAACTTCATATAAATGGAATCATAAAGTATGTCCTCTTTGGTGTCCAACTTCTTCCACTCAACATTACCTTTTTTTTTTTTTTTTTTTTTTTTAGACGGAGTCTCGCTCTGTCGCCCAGGCTGGAGTGCAGTGGTGTGATCTCGACTCACTGCAAGCTTCGTCTCCCAGGTTCACACCATTCTCCTGCCTCAGCCTCCTGAGTAACTGGGACTACAGGCTCCCGCCACCATGCTTGGCTAATTTTTTGTATTTTTTTTTTTTTAGTAGAGACCGGGTTTCACTGTGTTAGCCAGGATGGTCTCGATCCCCTGACCTCATGATCCACCCGCCTCGGCCTCCCAAAGTGCTGGGATTACAGGCGTGAGCCACCGCGCCCGGCCAACATTACCTCTTAAAGATCCACTCTTTGTGCATGTGTGAGCAATTCATTCTTTCTCCTTGCTGTGTAGTATTTCATTGTATGGGTATAATTAGGCACTATCGTTATCCCCATTCTACACATGGGGAAACTACTGCACAGAGGGCTGAAGTGGCTTGCACAGCACAAAGGCTGGAGTGAGAGGGTCTGGAATCCAGGTCTGAGTTTCCTACACCAGAAAGAAAAAACTAAAGCCAGACCCAGATAGGTGGGGCAGGGGTAGGGGGATCTGGGGGCTGCATTTGGCCTTGGCGTGCAGTGACCTGTGCTGTGCTCTTCCCCGCCCTCCCCTGCAGATCCTGGAGGAGAACATGAAGCTGGAATGTAAGTGCCACGGCGTGTCAGGCTCGTGCACCACCAAGACGTGCTGGACCACACTGCCACAGTTTCGGGAGCTGGGCTACGTGCTCAAGGACAAGTACAACGAGGCCGTTCACGTGGAGCCTGTGCGTGCCAGCCGCAACAAGAGGCCCACCTTCCTGAAGATCAAGAAGCCACTGTCATACCGCAAGCCCATGGACACGGACCTGGTGTACATCGAGAAGTCACCCAACTACTGCGAGGAGGACCCGGTGACCGGCAGTGTGGGCACCCAGGGCCGCGCCTGCAACAAGACGGCCCCCCAGGCCAGCGGCTGTGACCTCATGTGCTGTGGGCGTGGCTACAACACCCACCAGTACGCCCGCGTGTGGCAGTGCAACTGTAAGTTCCACTGGTGCTGCTATGTCAAGTGCAACACGTGCAGTGAGCGCACGGAGATGTACACGTGCAAGTGAGCCCTGTGTGCACACCACCCTCCCACTGCAAGTCAGATTGCTGGGAGGACCGGACCGTTTCCAAGCTGCGGGCTCCCTGGCAGGTCACTGCCTGGATCTTCACAGGGAACCGCAGGAATGCTGAGCTTGTCTTTTCTGCTGAGGAGGGTACTTTTCCTGGGTTTCCTGCAGGCATCTGTGGGGGAAAAAAAAATCTCTCAGAACCCTCGACTATTCTGTTCCACACCCAATGCTGCTCCACCCTCCCCCAGACACAGCCCAGGTCCCTCCGCGGCTAGAGCGAAGCCTTTTGCAGCAGGAACTCTGGACCCTGGGCCTCATCATAGCAATATTTAACAATTTATTCTGATAAAATAATATTAATTTATTTAATTAAAAAGAATTCTTCCACCTCGTCGGGATCCGTTTTCTGCAATCAAAGTGAACTGCTTGCTTTCCTAGCGGGATGATTTTGTTGCTAGGACAAGGAGCCATGTAGAAGTATACATAACTATTCTTAATGCAGATATTTCTACTAGTTGATTTTGCAAGTACCCCCCTTGCAGCACTAGATGTTTAAGTACAAGAGCAGATATCCTTTATACATATATAGATATATACACACACACATTTTTTTATATATATATATATAAAATTTTTTTTTTTCTCTTTGCTGCTACTTATCCAGAAATTTAAGCTGGTCCAGATTTGGAGATGTTTTTTCCAGAGTATGTTTCCCATCCTTTTGCCCTCCCTAGTTCAAACTTCACCATTAGAAAAATCCAGTTTGGAATATATAGAGAGAGGAAAAATAATAATAAATTCCCAGCAGTTTCCATCTTTCAGAAAGTGAGCCACCAGATAAGAGAGAATATTTTGTAAGAGACTATTTTTATATGAATATTTTATTTATATCGAGTCTGCTGTATCATTCCACAGCCTATGCTTCTTCTTAATTCTGGTACTCACTTTGGGGTAAGGAGGGGCGATGCCTGGTTGTGGGGTCAGGCCCCACGAGGCCCCTTACACAGCTGGATTCTTGAGTTCTATTTGCCAAGTGGGCACAAGATGCCCTGGATGCCTGGGGTTGAGGCGTCATCTCATCCATGTTAGCTGGGAAAGAAAGCAAATCCCCAGCCTCAGCCTGTTAAGTTCAGGTCTTTCAAGCAGGGCCACTGGGTGGTAGCCTCGAAATGAGTTACTGTGGTGGGTAGTCATTGTGCCCCTCACAGGGACTTCACCATCATTATGCAGCAGAGGCCAGTTCAGGGAGCCCCACACCTCACCAAGACACTAGCCATTGCCTGTGTGTCCTGGAAGGTGAGATGCAGTCCTCAGATGAGGGGACCCAGAGCAGGTGGGGTGAGGGGCCGATGAGCAGCCAGGCCCAGCGGAGCTTCCTGGATATCCTGCTCCCAAGGCCAAGCAGCAGGGAGAAGTTCGGGGGAGGCCACTTTGCTTTGGGTCCAGCTACACCCAGAGCCTCAGCCTAGAAAACTGTCCTCCAGCAGGCTGGGGGTGTTCTAAGATGCGTCCATTTGCATTTCCAGTATGTGTGTTTACTGTAGCTCCTTAGGGACTTGGGGGTAGTCACGTGACTTTGCATCTTGCAGTGCCTCCGCCGTACTCGTGTGTGTATGTGTCTGTGTGTTTCCGTGCTACCCAAGTATCTGTTTCTCTCCATGTGCCTGGGAGATCAGGTCTCAGGCATGGAGCTGCGTGCCTTTGCATCTGCTGCTCCCCAGGGTCTCTGCTTGCATGTGAGGGCTGGTGGTGTGAGGCAGACAGCAGAGATTGTGTGTGATTGTGTTGAACCACCAAGAGATGGCACCTCTGAACTCTGTACCCACACCCATGGGTGAAAACCAGAAACCTCTGAGACCACAGCATAGCCCCGTGGCCCCACCTACTGGGAGCCCCTCAGTATCGAGGCTGTGTCTGACTCCTCAATGTCCACACTGAGCCTGGATCACAGCATGGGCAAATAAAAGTGACTGGTTGGTTGCATGGTTTCTTCTCTTGGACATTTTTTTTTTCCATTTTTCTTTAACTTGGGTGTCTGGAGGAGTGGGCATGTGAAGGGGTCCATGGAGTGAATGGATGGAGGGATGGATGAATGTGTGAGTAGGTAGGTGAACGGGTGGATGTGTGGATGGATAAGTAGGTGGGGTGGGTGGACGGATAAATGGATGGATGGGTAGATGGATAGATGAAGGGATAAACAGATGGGTGGATGGATAGATAAGTGAGTGGATGAATGGATGAATAGATGGGAAAGTGGGTGGGTGGATGAGGTAGGTACACCTATGGATAGGGAGCTGAGGAGTTTCTTGGGAGTCTGCAGGTCACATTTTATCTTTGCTTTGGAAAACCTACCAGATCTGCCATGAGCAGGATGGCTTCCCAACCCTGCAACCCTTCTGCTTCTGGCCTCCTTGGCACCTGGGAATGGGGAGATTCTGACCAGCTCCCCCACATGAGTGTTCAGTGATAGTCATGTAAACACAATCTCAGAAGAGTCATCCCTGTGTCCTCCCTCACCGTGGGTTCCCAACTCGGGCCTGCCCTCTCTCTGGTGCCCTGCTCAGCTGTGCTCTGAGCCCCAGTTTCTCCACCTGTGAAATCAGAATAATAACACCTACCTCACAGGGCTGTTGTGAGGACCCTCCCAGTAATGACTGTATGGCACTTTGAGTTGCAAAGCAATGGATGAATGCTAAATATTATTATTAATTATTATCACTATTCTCTCTGCAACTACGGGATTCTTCAAACATGGCTTATGGTAATAAATATTTGGTTCTGCATTGGGCAGAGGTATCCACCAGCCCCTTTGGTCTATTCCTAAAGTGGCTTTTCAACTAAACTGACATTGCAAAGGCCAAAATTATTAGAGGCTGAACCAAAAACACCAGAAAGCCCAGGACTATAGTGATGAGAACCCAGACACTAGGGGTCTTAGCAGGAACCAAGTCTCAGAAAGTAAGCTGCTCAACACAAGGGCAATTTTGCCACATGGGAATGTGGGCCTCTTCATGGTCAGATCCTCTGATTTTTCAAGAAAGGACAAACATCCAGGTTTTTAAGTAAAATATCCCACTTTTTCAGTACGTTGACAAACACCATGACGAACACCATGACAAAAACATGACTGTGGGCTGAACTTGGCCTTCACGCCACCAGCGTACAGTCTCTGACTTGGACCCATCTCTTGTTTTAGAACTGGAGAAACTGAGGCCCAGAGAGGGCCAGGGCTTTACTCAAGGCCACACAGCAAATTTGGCAGAAAGAGAACCAAGTTCAGGACGTGTGCCTCCCTGGGAGGCACCAACATAGTGCACCAATGGAGGCAGCAAAATAATTTGAGGGAAGGGGTTAAGGGGGTAAAGTTCCTACACACACACACACACACACACACACGCAGCCTCTGGACTTGAGTTTAAAACTATCTCAGGGCTTCATGAAGCAGGAACTGGGCTTTCCCAAAGGCCCTGAGGAGATGAGCCAGTGCCTGAACCTCTCTGCAGAGAGTGCCCTGCCAACTGGCAAGGGAATCTGTCAGCAAGACCTGGGTCAGAACAGACCTGTGGAGGCTTTTCCCATCCAAGGTCAGAACAGTCCTGGGGAGGCTTTTCCACTCAAGGGCAGGACATTCCTGGGGAGGCTTTTCCGACCCAAGGTCAGGACAGTCCTGGGGAGGCTTTTCCCACCTGAGGTCAGGACAGTCCTGGGGAGTCCTTTCCACCCGAGGTCAGGACAGTCCTGAGGAGGCTTTTCCACTCAAGGGCAGGACATTCCTGAGGAGGCTTTTCCCACCCAAGGTCAGGACAGTACTGGGGAGGCTTTTCCACCTGAGGTCAGGACAGTCCTGGGGAAGCTTTTCCCACCTGAGGTCAGGACAGTCCTGGGGAGGCTTTTCCCACCTGAGGTGGGGCTGTCCCCTGCACACTTCAATGCAAGTCTAAGACATGTTTCCTGAGACCCTAGGAAGCCTCTTGCTCCTGCTTCACAGATGACAACCAGTCTCAGGGAAGAGAAATTACCTCTTCAAGGCCCCACCACCCAGACTCAAGGGTAGGAAGGCTATAGTTTGGGCTGTCCCACATCATCTGAGCCGTCATCACCTGAACCTTCTACCACTTCAAATAGAGGCTTGAGGAAGATAGAGATAAAAGGTTCAGGCTGTGGACCACACAGGCTGTCCATGCCAGATGCAGACTGCTATCGTCAACTTCCTCCCCATCACCAGGCACATTCAACAGGCTACCAAGCTCTGGCAGTTTCTCCCTGGGGCATCTCATGAGTTTTCTCACTGCCCATCACCTTCTTTGGCCACCATTGTCTCTTTCAGGTGAGAATCTGAAAGAATGTCAAGGCCTCCTCCAGGTCTCCCTGCTTCCACTCATACCCCATCAAGCCAGCCTCCAAGCTCTGGCCAGACCAACTCACACCACACCTGTCACCAGCCATGGCTCCCCATTGTCCTGTAGGTAAAGTCCAAGTTCCTTATCCCACAGTGACCTTGCACCTGACATGCTGGCAGCCTTTTGCACAGCAGTAGCAATGGTGCCACTTAGGAGATAAGCACTCTGCCAGATGAGGTTCTAGCAGTTCTCATGCCCTCTCTTTCATCACCATACCCTATTTATCTCCAGCACAGAATTACTGTGGTCCCATTTCTCTGTACATCTTGTCCTTTGCTGTCTCCTCTGCCCAGAGCACTCATCTTTCTTTCCCCCACCTGACAAACTCCTCTGAAGACTCCTCTGAAGAGTCTGTTCGTGCTGCTGCATGGAGGATGAGACCCAGGGTCACCCACATGCAGCCCTTGCCCACATTCTCTTCCTGGCCTGCTAGAATCTGAACTACACTCCCTGACGGTGCTCCAGAGCCTGCTACACGACCCACCCACGTGAAAATTCACTGATAGGCACAGGACTGGAACCCATGTCCCAGGCTCGATGACCAGGCTCCTTTCCTGCTTGGGGAATTGTGTCAGTGAGCTATGGTTGAATAACAAACTACCCCCAAACTCCCTGCCTCCAAACAATATGCATTGATCTTTGCTCATGAGTCCATGGGTGCACTGGGAACTTCTGG